CGAACAGGGAAACCGGTAGATGGGCTGCGACGACCGCAATTGACCGCGACGGCGAGCCGTAGACATATGAGTTATAACTTAATGACTCATGACTCATGACTTGACATGACTCATGACTTATAACTCATGTGTTTCTCAAACAAGGAAAAATTGAACAAAAATCAATTAACGTTTTTTTTTTTGATTTTGATTTTCAGGCAAGTTTGTTTAGAGCGATTCTGTTTAAACAAGGCATTCCAAAATTATTATTCACATTGCAGACTGAAATGCTTCGAAACCAGTTTTTTTCTGTTTTTAAACGTTTTTTCATTGAAATTTTAAAAACAATTTGCTTTAAAAAACGTAGCAAAAGCCAATTTGCATCTCAAGTATGGTGTGGCCTGCATGTGTCAAGCCAGGACAGCTGAAAAACACAGACCAAGTTCTTTGAAGTCCTGTTTCATTGCTGGTGGTTTTGTTTCAGCTTTTCTGCAAACAGGAAAAAATGCACGTCAAGCCAAACAGCAGAAAAGAAAGATGGGCTGATGGGGCCATGTGGCTCCCTGATTTGATGCCAAGCAGAGAGTGCTTTGCACCCCCATTTGCCGTCAGGCACTGTTTTGGAAGAAGGCTGAGAATTAGGTCTTGAGAACGTCTCTTTAAAGCAGCTACAAGGTGGTGTTGCATCTGAAAAAGGCTGGAACGATAAACTTCTCCGTTCTTGACCATGCCTGCCAGCGTTGGACATTGGAGGCAAAGAAGGGTTTGCGAAGTGCGTAGCCCCAAAGTCAAAACGGAGATTTGGGGAAATTGTACTTGCTGGCAAGTTTCCAAAGCTGGCAGGAAGTTTGCTGGAGCTCTGCTTGTATGCGCAGTTTGCGGAGCCACGGAACTGTGCTTTTGTGGTTTCAGAGACGCGAAAGTTTGGGGGAATTGCACTGGTCACTTTCCAGAGCGCCGCAGGTGGGTTGGAGAACTTGTACTTGTCCCCGAAGCTAAGTAAGGGGGCCTGGGGAAACTGTGCTTGGGCGGGGGGTTTGCGGGATTGCGCTTGTGTGACGAATTTCTGCGGTTGCGCAAAGGGGTTTACGAGAACGTGCTTCGGAAATTGTGTAAGAATTTTTGCACAAAGAGGCGGGGTTTTGGGGGGACTCTGTTTGTGTAAGAATTTTCGTGTCCATTGCAAACGCCAGAAAATCTGTATTATCCCCCCTAAGGGGCCATGATGCACGAACGTCCTGCAAAGACGGCATTGTGTAACGCTCTGGAATGTACAACCAGCATTGGTATTTGATATAAAGCTGTCCATGATCAAGCGAGAAGCTTTGGTGGAATGCTTGATAATGTTGCACTTGACCATTGCAGTAAGATTCGGCCAAGATGACCTTCTAATCCAGCGGCAGTCACCTGGCGCGCGCTTTCTCTTGGTGGTTTTTTTTTCGGTAAAGCATTAGGCCATGCGCAGCAAAGAAGATCTACGACGTGTGGGAATTTCACCAAAGCGTCTTTGTGTAACCAATTCTGCGTCATCGAAGCTGTTGTCTTTTCCTGGTTTGTTTCCCGTGAGGCTGGGGGGGGGGTTGCACACGACAGCTTCATTCAGCTTGCTTCTTTCGCTCTTATCTGGATTTTCGGATTCGTGCTTAGAAATAGGGGTCGGATAGAACATCTTGGTTTCCAAGGGATGGAGCCGTGCTCATTAACGCGGGCCCCGTACTAATTAACACGGCCGGAACCAAGAACCAAGAACCAAGACTTCCAGAAAAGTCTTGTGGGGTTTCTTGGTTTCTGAGCGTGTGGGGCTCCGTGTTAATTGGCCCGTGTTAATTAACACGGCTGGAACCAAGAACCAAGCCAAGATTCTTAAAAAAGTCTTGCGGGGGTTCTTGGTTTCTAAGAATAAGAGGCCGTGTTGTTTAACACGGGCTCCGTAATAATTAACATGATGGGAACTAAGAACCAAGAAACAAGATTCCAGAAAAGTCTTATGATAAATCTTGTGATAGTTTGGGGATCCACCCTCTACCCTGGGAACCATGATTCATCCCAAGACTTTTCTGGAAATCTTGGTTCTTGGTTCTTGGTTCCCATCGTGTGAATTAGCACGGGGCGAATTAACACGGCTCCATCCCCATGGGAACCAAGATTCCCCCAAGACTTTTCTGGGAGTCTTGTTTCTTGGTTCTTGGTTCCGGGCGTGTTAATTAACACGGGGTCCTCACACTGCCCTTACCCATTGGTTGAAAGGGGTTGCCCGCCAGATATGCACTTATTATGTCGCAGCCTTCGGGGAAACACCCCGCCCCCTTACACTGTGCTTACAGTGTGCTCTGGAGGGGGGGGGTAGCATATATATATGTATATAATCAACAAAACCATGTGCCACTTATCCCTTCCATGTGCATATCTATATATATATATATGTTCTCAACAAAGCCATGTGTCTTTTCTCCATTCCAATTTGCTGAAGGCCACCTTCCCGACATCAAGATTTCAAAGGACCACGTCATCACTCGCCAAAACGTGTCCATTGCACCGAGCACACATCGTCTGTTGGGATCGCGAATTTCTCGAAAGTTCCCCAAATGTACATGTTTGTTTGCGCTGCAGCTCGTCCGGCAGCAACAGCCATGAGGCTGCTGAAGGAAAAACAAATGTGCCGATCTGCACCATATCTTGCCGACCCAACACTACCGGCACGTCGTCGCCGTGCAGGGAGAAGGGCACAGCTTTCTTTTGGTAGTTGGCTCGTTTGAGAACGGGGTGGTTAAGCATCCCGGGTGTTTCACGAACACATCCCAAAACGAAGCCAGCTTTGAGGGATCTGGGAGGTTGACCAACCTTTGGCACTTTGGTACATCGCATAGAAAGTCTCGTGAGGCAACAAGACATAGGCCACTTCTGAAAAGCCTACTATGACCACCGTTGCGTTATAGCGAAGCTATAGAGATGAAAGTAGCATCCTGGGAATGGAAGCGGCCGGCTACCGCTATAAATCCTTTGCCCTCACTGGTGTACTTGTGCATGTGGCGCACATTCCGATGCTTGCAAGCCAAGATGGCTAGGCCTCCACTCGTGCTTCCGGCCGGAGTGCCCCAGGCCGGGGCTGCCCACATGGCCCTGCCACCCTTTTTTAACTTGGCGGCAACTGGTCCACATTGCGCCTCATTGAGATGCGAATCGCCCCCGGCAACCCAGAAACCGGAGACCCCCGCTTCCTCATTAGGCTTGATGACCTCCGCAATACCTCCGTAATCTGCTGCTTCTGCGCGTCATTGAGGGATGTTGAAGCGGCCCAGCAGTTCAATGACACTGGATGTGCCTTTTGCATCCTGTGCGGACCTCAATCTCCGCCACCGATGCGCTGCTGCAGCTCCAGCTGCTCCTCAGGCAAGTTTTCCAAGTTTTACCGGTCCTTCTCAACCCGGCCAAGGAGACCTGGCGGAGCAGGAGGCCTCGGAGGTCCTGAGTGGCCTAGTGCATAAAACCATCGCCTTTCGTTAGCCGTCCTGTCTTCCCCCCATCTCACGGACGAAAATGATTTCGGCGGCTCTCTGCTGCGCCTGTCTCCTGAGGAAGGCTATGGCGCCCCTGTCGCCTTTTTTTGCCTTTCCCAAGAGGTTAATTCTATGCTTAGCTCGACTCGCACCTCGCAGGCGCCTGATCTCCTCCATCACCGTTTCCATTTCATCATTTGGTAGTGCGCACTTCCGCTGTCTGATTTTTCTAGGATGAATGGTGGATCTTTGTATTGCAAAGACGATGTGCGGGACGAAACTAGTCTGACACGCACACGCAAAGGTCTCCTGCGAGAGCTGGAATTCCTCTTCACCATGTAGTGCGCCGATGGCGTCTCTTAGATTTTACTATGGGGCCTCACTCGCCTTTCATACAACGGTAATTTGCTTGCTGCTCGGGTCAGCAGCCGGGGCATGCTTCGATGGCAGCGCCTCGCGAAAGTCGTGTAAGCTCGAAGCTAGGCTGCTCTGACTGTGTCATGTGAGTCGCATGTCAGAGCGTGTTTTTTCCACGCGATCATGGGGACAAGGTGTCTGCTTATTTCACTCGCATCTTCTCTGGACGCGAACCCATCTCGGCAGAGTGGCAAGAAGGTAAAATTGTGTTGCTGCCGAAAAGGAAACACCACCGCCGGGCAACGGGTTTCTGCCCTATCACTCTGACCTCTTGCCTGCGCAAGTTCTTTTCCCGCATTGTCATGCAGAGACTTCACAGCAAGGCGCCTGAGTACAGGGCGGGACAATTGGCCTGCAGAAATGGAGTCCAAACGGTTGACGGCAGAGTGGCAGCCCATTTCGCGGCAGGGGACATTAGGCAGTCGGGCAAAAACTTTGCACGCTGCCAAGCTGGATATTCGCGCTGCGTTCGACAGCTCGCCGCACGTAGCAGTAGCCAAATGGCTAGCGGCATACGACACCAACATTTTCAAGAAACTGAATCTGAGATGCCCTGCGTTTAAGAACTTGTTGCTTGATTGTTCACATGCCAAGACATGACGATGAAGTTTTATGAGAAGCGGCAGTCCAGCTTTTGTACTTCGTCGTGCATGATTGCTGTGCTTGCCGCGCTATGCATTTGCCTCTTTCAAGCTGGTTCAATGTATTGCGGATTCCATGAAATCCACCAAGAAGACCTGCATGTGGATGTCATCTTGTTGTAGCACTGCAAGTGACATGTTTTGTGAACATGTGCGTCCTGACAGCAAGCAGCATGAAAGACGGTCATTCGTGCATCAGAATGCAGTATTTATTGCCGATTTATGACTCATCGTTTCATATTCGTTTCAAGGTTCATCATGCTTCTTTCACACCGCTCAAGTACTGGTAAACACACCCGCGGGCCACTACACCAAACTCAGGACCTACAGTAGGTGTGTTTGAAGTGGGATTCGACTGAAATTGGCGGCCGAGCAGCCTCCGTTTCGTGAAGGTGGCCAAGCTGCATGTGCATCAATGCGTTTGTGAATGGCTATTGTTTGGGCAGGGCGTGCTTGCCGCTCGTGCATGGCCGCGGCTGGCACTCGGAAAAAGTTTGCAAACAGGCGTCCGGTAGCACTCATGTAGCGATATCGCGTGCGGCACGTGCCAATTTGGCCAGCAACCTCAACACCCTCCTCGGAGCGCCGAAAGAGGTTGCCAAGGCCCGCTGCGTGAACAAAATCGTGGCCTCGAGAGTCTTTTTGTGGTTAAGAGCGCGAGGCAAATTACGGCCCTGCAGTGCCCCATGGACTTGTTGCACAGCAAGCTGAATCATCGTGTTTTTGATGTGGACAAGGTACGGTCGGGGGGTGTTGTCAAGCCGGTTGCCAAGCCCAAAGGACAAATCTTGGATGGCGCTTTTTCCTTTCTGGTGACAGATCACATGCGATGTTGTAAAGCAGCGCTGCCAGTTCGAGATTCCGCGCAGGATTGGTATCTCTTGGGAAGGCACCAGCTGCTTCATCAGGCAATGCTCGCAAGGCTCGGGTTTTTGTTGATTTGTGGAAGCAATGTCTGCAAGTGGATCAAAAGTTTAATGTTTGCAGGGTGCTGCGTGGAATCAGCTGGAGGAGGAAGCCAAGAAGCGCGCCGAGGAAATCCAGCAAGTTGCGATTGTCGCATTTTGTTGCAGTTTGTGAACTGGGACTTCGATAAAGTTTTTGTGTTTGCAGGAGGAGAGTGCCAAGAAAAAGGACGATACCAGACCAGACTGGCACGCTGATGTTCTTTTCCACCATCGTATGTTGCTTAGTTACTTCATGCACCACACACACCGTCCATCTTGACTGCGGGGAGGGCCGTCATTGACTTCAAAGACCTAGACAAGCCTCTGGCGAAGGAGGACGAAGAAGACGAGGCCGCGGTCAACCTGAAGTATGCTTGGTGTGCAAGTGGAGATGGCTGTCTGACGTGCAAGGAAAGAGTCGAGTTCGATGAGCTCAGCGATGTCAAGGTAGCAGATGCGCGCCATTGCGCGCCGGTGTTCCGCTTTGAGTTTGGTGCTGGGCAGGATGGGTGGTTCGAAGCTCCAGAGCCAGATGAGGCTTCGGCAGGCCGATACGAGCAGTCGGAATTTGCATTGATGGATTCTGTGAGGGTCGTTACGTACGCATGTCCACAAGAGCAATACTCAACATTCAACACATAAATAGAACCAGTTTGCAGACGGGGGATATATAGGTGTTGAGTACAACGCATCTGCCCAAATCCTTCGCTTCCCAGAGGCACTGCAAGGCATATCAAGGCATCAGTCAGCCAACGGCCGGCTGGTATGTTAAACATGATATAATGGTTGTTACAATTGGCTGCATACTGTATACTGGCCAGATTTCGCTTGGTGTTTGGCGAAGGAAGTTGGTGCAGGTTTTTCGGACGACCGTGTGAGATCGAAGAGTTGTCTGCAAGTTTTGACACCTTCCAATGTTGTTTCTGAAATCGGCCTGAACAGTGATACGGATCCATCTATCCTGTTGCAGGTCAGGGCTACTTAGATCCATTTTCTTGGACACTGAACTTGGTGTATGCTCGCCAGGCCACACGCTCTTCATCGGAGGGGACGAGGAGCCTTGCATACAGAGACATGTAGGTCTAAGCAGCGGTGATGTCGCCTTCGTGGGAGGATCAGGCCCCTGAAAGCGTGGCTCCGAGAGAAACGGGTGCCAGGCGATGACAAAGCTCGTTATTCTCGTTCAGTGGCCAGGGAGTACCATTATCATTGTGTGGATTCTTGTTCTGTGCTTCCAGTTTGTGGGCTGACCAGAACGAGCTTGACGAGGAGGCCTGGCCGTCACACAGATGGTCAGGTCGCACCATCTCATGCGCAGCAAGTCAAAGCCGTAAATCAGAAGTTCCGTTCAAGGAATCCGTGGCGGATGAGCTTGGGGTGGACCGCCCAGATGTGTTCGCGCCACATTTCCCCACCCAAGTCACGGCTTGCGGATCTCGGCCTTGCTGCGGCTGTTTGCTTAGCCCGTTTAGCCCTAAAACCTTGACGTGACAAGGACACACGCGTTGTCAAACTAGCCTTGAGTAAGGGCTTCAGCCGCCACTACGTTAATGCCCCCCATCCTCAAGCCGATTTTGAGACGTGTGACATCAAAAAGAAGATATCTCTTTGCTTTCGGAAAGCGTAAAGTGAAGAACGTGGCAGGCCCCCCTTGGCAGGAGAAGGCGAGAACCAGAGTGAGCCAGGCAAGAATGTAGCACCCCACAGATCAGCACAGACAACAGGCGCGGCAGGAACCTGAAGGGACACGCTGAGGAAGCCAATGCCGACAGGCACACGCATGCGATGCAACGGGGCGTTCCCGTAGCGCCTGCACTTAACCACGGCAGCCAAACGTTTCCACAGGCCCTTTTTGAGAGGGTATAACTAAGCTACATTAAGCTACCGTGTGAGGGGCTCAGCCATCGCACGAGAAAATGGTGGCCCACTGACTGATGGAACTGTGAGGCCCGGATCATGAATCATGAGCTTGAGCCCGGTTTGATTCAACAATAATGAGCTCTGGCGTGCAATGGCAGTCCCGGGGCAGTGCATGCAGGCTTCTTCGCATGCATCGAACGTCTCCATTCTCGAAAACCAACATTCACCCATACTTTCGGTTTGTGACTGGAGGTAGATCGTTTGGTGTGTCTGTCGCCTTACTCGTCTTGTTCAAAGCCAGAGACGATGAATTGTCCAAATTTTTCTGCCATGTGCGATGGCTAAAAGCGACAGGTGCACGACGCTTCTTTCAGCCCATTCAGCGCATTGGCGAATGTTTTTGTTACCTAAGATGTCGACAAAGATTTGAAACTTGAACATGTTTCTACCGGTGGCATTTAGGTGCACCTAAGCCGAACTGCGCAGAGCGGATGACCAACAGCTTTTAAGCTTCACGAGAAGCAGGCTGCAACATCGCAAATACACTACGAGGCCACTAGGGGTTTCTGACAGCATCATGCCCAGTGAAGCCACCCGCGAGTGTACCTGGGATCACTGGGGGAACCCGTGTACGGTGCAGCTAGCCGATGTGCCGAAACCAGTGAAATCCGCTCAGCAAGAGTGCTCAAATGTGACCTATGCCTATGAGCAAGATATCTCAGGTGGTTGACCTGATGGCGCCAGGAACTTCTGTGGGCTCCTGCGGGCCAGGCGTGAGTTTGAACGGCAACCCCTGCACGTGCCGCATGCTTGTCATGTGCCTTCGTCGTTGCATCATTGAATCATTCAAGTAGAACAGCTGAACCGCTGATAATTAACACAAAAATCCATTATGATCCTTCTTTTAGATTGTTTGCAGGATTGGTGTCTCTCGACAGAGCAGCAGCCGCTTCGTCAGTCAACGTCCGCGCCTCATGCAAAGCATGTAAAGTTCACCACAAACCGTCCGACATGTTGCAGGGCACTGCTTGGACTCGACTCGAGGAGGATGCAAAACGAGCCGAGGTGACTTGAGAGAGTTGGTCTGGTAAGTTCTATGCTTGTGGCTAGGTTTCAAGTGTTTCTTGTGCAGGAGGAGAGTGCAAGGAGAAAAGTGGATGCCAGACCAAGTTGGTGCGCGGCAAATCTGCGGGGATGAGATGCAAGTTCGGCAGAGGGTTTTCTCTGGTTTTGGCTCGATTTTCTGCAAGGCCGGCCATTGACTTCAAAGACCTAGACAAGCCTCTGGCGAAGGAGGACGAAGAAGACGAGGCCGCGGTCAACCTGAAGTATGCTTGGTGTGCAAGTGGAGATGGCTGTCTGACGTGCAAGGAAAGAGTCGAGTTCGATGAGCTCAGCGATGTCAAGGTAGCAGATGCGCGCCATTGCGCGCCGGTGTTCCGCTTTGAGTTTGGTGCTGGGCAGGATGGGTGGTTCGAAGCTCCAGAGCCAGATGAGGCTTCGGCAGGCCGATGCGAGCAGTCGGAATTTGCATTGATGGATTCTGTGAGGGTCGTTACGTACGCATGTCCACAAGAGCAATACTCAACATTCAACACATAAATAGAACCAGTTTGCAGACGGGGGATATATAGGTGTTGAGTACAACGCATCTGCCCAAATCCTTCGCTTCCCAGAGGCACTGCAAGGCATATCAAGGCATCAGTCAGCCAACGGCCGGCTGGTATGTTAAACATGATATAATGGTTGTTACAATTGGCTGCATACTGTATACTGGCCAGATTTCGCTTGGTGTTTGGCGAAGGAAGTTGGTGCAGGTTTTTCGGACGACCGTGTGAGATCGAAGAGTTGTCTGCAAGTTTTGACACCTTCCAATGTTGTTTCTGAAATCGGCCTGAACAGTGATACGGATCCATCTATCCTGTTGCAGGTCAGGGCTACTTAGATCCATTTTCTTGGACACTGAACTTGGTGTATGCTCGCCAGGCCACACGCTCTTCATCGGAGGGGACGAGGAGCCTTGCATACAGAGACATGTAGGTCTAAGCAGCGGTGATGTCGCCTTCGTGGGAGGATCAGGCCCCTGAAAGCGTGGCTCCGAGAGAAACGGGTGCCAGGCGATGACAAAGCTCGTTATTCTCGTTCAGTGGCCAGGGAGTACCATTATCATTGTGTGGATTCTTGTTCTGTGCTTCCAGTTTGTGGGCTGACCAGAACGAGCTTGACGAGGAGGCCTGGCCGTCACACAGATGGTCAGGTCGCACCACCTCATGCGCAGCAAGTCAAAGCCGTAAATCAGAAGTTCCGTTCAAGGAATCCGTGGCGGATGAGCTTGGGGTGGACCGCCCAGATGTGTTCGCGCCACATTTCCCCACCCAAGTCACGGCTTGCGGATCTCGGCCTTGCTGCGGCTGTTTGCTTAGCCCGTTTAGCCCTAAAACCTTGACGTGACAAGGACACACGCGTTGTCATACTGGCCTTGAGTAAGGGCTTCAGCTGCGACTACGTTAATGGCCCCCCATCCTGATGATGTGGCAAGCAGATACACAGGACGGCCATGCACAGCCTCTGTGAGATGGAAAGAAAACCAATAAAACCATTAGGTAATTAGGCATGGTGTCCACACTGACACGGTGTTTGCGAGATGCAAAAGAGGATACATGCACATGCCGAATCTGGGAAGCTGAGGTGCTCGACGTCAATGTGCCCAGAACTGCCTTGGCCTCCTCGGCATGTTGCGCTTTGTTGCGCTTTAGCACATTGTGCAGCTTTGTGTGGTGTTTCTGCTCGTGAGGTGATCAACATCTCCTACGTCCTAAAGCGGCTTAATGGTTGCTGTAGTTTGAACCAGTTGACGAAGGCCCTGAAGTCTTTCAAGGCCCAAGATGCTTGAGCAGATGCTCCTTTCAGCCTTGCTGAGCTTGCTATCGAACCGGAGGAGAAGACCGGCATGTCCCTGGAGGTTTTCCTGCGGTCGAATCCAAGAACCTTCAAGCTTGAGGCAGAGGGCAAGCGTTCGAGGCTAGGGTATACTGTAGCGGCTATACTAGGTTATGAGGCATGGATTACACTACTGCCGGTATCCCCAGAAGGACACCCAATAAACTTTCATCAGGAAGCATGAGAAATGAGAAACCATCAGTGCATGCAGCAATAACACAGTTATCTAGACGCTACCATATGAGGCTGTTGCATATGCTTGCACCATATGTTTTGCGGATTGGACCAGGGCCGAATCGTCTACCTCGTCGACCGCGATGGGGAAAAATGGCAGCCCCCGAAGCAGGCGTTTCCATCATGTCCTTAATTTACATTGCAACATTACGTCGTGTGCTTGAAGGATGCTTCTGCTGGTGGTCCCGACCTGAGCAGCCTTAGCAGGGATGTTCAAAGGAGTTATGTTTTGAACCCGCTGGAGGTGGCGGTGATGCCGGTCTGCACCCGACACAACAACTCAGTCAAAAGAAGCGTTGCTGCATGTGACTTTCATGTGAGGCCCAGAAAGGCCTAAGGGCCAATCCAAGGGCAAGGAGGCAGCAACTTGACTTTGCAGTGCGCAAGCTCGAAGATTGCTAAAGAATCTAGGATGCCATAGAATGCCTATCCCAAATTTTGCATTCCTTGAGCTGCTTGCGGCCGCACTTCAGAAGTTTGACCTGCAAGGCCAAGGGGCGTACTGGAGGCCGCATTCGCGATCTGCTTGGACAGCTTGCGATAGTGCACGTCTACGTGGCAGGTGAAGGTCGACGTGGCAAAGCCATGGCGAAAGGCACTTGTGGATCTTGACGTCCACGTCTATAGCCCTGCAGTGCACCTTTCTGGAGGAGACCTCCCAATGACAAAAGGCGAAGCAGGACGAGAGTATGCTCCGTAGATGCAGCACCCACACGGCTCTGCAGAAATCGATGCCACGCAAACTGTGAGGAGGAAAAGGCAGAAGCAAAGGCCTCATGGAAGATTCATTGCCCGCGCAGTACCGCCGAATTTACGAGCAACATCCAGCATCTGCACGCGAAGTGAATACCATCATCGAACAGCGACGACGTGAAAAGCGATAGCGATGTACAACTCTGAAGAATCATTTTTCGAAGCCTTGACTCAGGGTTGGCCGGAGTTCCCTTAAATCCCTTTCCATTGACACCCTGTTCCCCCATTTCTGGTTCAAAGCGTTGTTGTTTTTAGTTCCTGACATAACTCAGATTCCCAAGTCCTGCCCTGGTCCAGGCCATGCTCACAATGATGAGTGGTCCTGGAAATCCAACGGCCAGAATCTGTGTTCCGTTGCCATTAACATGTCTCAATTTGGCGAGCAGCCAAGCTGATCCTGCCCTGTGACGGTGAGATACGGTGAGAGGCCAGTGGTCCCCAGCCTGGGACGAGTGGCAGACAGCGCAACCTGCAGATTGGAAAGCGCTGCAAAGGAAGGTGCGGCTGCTGCATAGACTTCTTCGGCGTCACTTACGGCATGTGATGTAAATATCTATGGCCTACTTACCGTTCGCATCATGTGTGGGTTATGGGCTTGAAGGTGCTTCGAGGGTGTGTAGACTGGATGCGGCTTCCGCGGATGTATGCTTGTATGTGTCTAGGTGACGGAACGTGAGCCTGGCAGGGAGCGTATCGTCAATGGAAATTTGTCTTGGGGCGTACCAGGAGTGAAGGGGGCGGGGGTCTCTGCGGGGGGGCTTAGGGGTGCCTGAGGGGGCGGGTGCTAAAAACCGCACACAACCCTTCCTGTCGGCCGTACCCCGCTTCCCACTCCTTCGCTTTCCGCGTGGTGTCCTAGTTTGCATACTGTGTCGGCATGTGATCTGCCCAGTGAAATGATCCCGAAAGCCGAAAGCGAATGTTCGAGCGCCTCCATGGCTCATAACTTGAGCCGACTTGAGCTGTTAAATTTTTCTTCCGACAAGGCCAGTCGATGGAAGGCATCCTAGCAAGTCTGTGGCTCAGTGACAGCTTGAGAAGTGAGGGCAGGAGCTCATGCAGCACTTGTCCGACTTGTTTCAAGGTTTTTTGTTTAGAAGTGAGGGTGCCCTCAACAGCGTTTCTTGTCCATATTGCATGCAGCAAATCTGAGCTGTGTGCCTCCAATAAGTCTCCAATGCATGCGTGTATTTCGGTCCATTCAGAGACCTTTGTGAAGAGTCTGCAATGACTACTGTCGTCACGGTCTCTGCCGAATGAGAACCACTTCGGAGTGGAGTTCTTGCGGGCGATTTTGACATTTCTGGCCTTATATATATTCGTGGGAAGTTGCTTGTTTGATGTGCTCTTATTGCTTCGCATATTGCTTCGCATAGATACTGCAGGGACGCATAGACTAGTCGGTGCTGTGTCAGACCGTGCGTGACCCGGTGGAAACAATGCGCAAGGGTTTCAGTCAGTAAGGTTTCCGTGGGTTGAAGCAACCTGTTGGCACTTAGCAGATGCAGATAGGGGTCCCGTAGACGGGTGGCAGACCCGGCCGGGGTCCCCGACCGTAGGAGCTGCACATATTTTATCTTTCTCATCGTCCCATTTTCGGAGCTGAAAGTTTCAGATTTGTAGAGGTTTTCTGTCTCTCTAGATTTTCATGATACTGGGGTAAGGAATCTGGAAATGTCGGAAATTTGGAAATGAGGACAGTTTTAAGGTTGCACTCGTGAAAATGTCGGTCCTAGTGGGTAAGTGGCTGGGGCAGGGCAGCCAATATTCGTATCCAGTGCATGCGGCAGCTTCTCTGCACCATCTTTGTGCTTTGTGCAGCAAATCAGCACCTGTCAGCAGAGAACACAGGAATCAGAAACCGTAAGATTGGACTTGGGCACCAAGGTGTGACAGCAGGGAGTATTATGCAGCCACTTTCTCTGATCAGCGGATAGTCACGCAGACTCCTTAGGATCCCGTCCATGGCTCTTCAAGAGGCCGTTTCCATGTGTAGAACAGTGTAGGAGAAGGCGACAGCCCTTTTTTTGTGAGAGTCGAACACCAGTCCTGCAGCCCCTCTTATCAGATAAGCAAGTTAAGCAGTTATAAGCCACTGCGCGTGTTTGACAACACACAGGCTGAAAAGCGAAGCGCTGCCAATGTTTTCTTAAGAATGCCTAACCTGATGCCATTGATATTCCTTGCCGGGCTGACGGCGCCGCGGCACGTGTGTAATGCTTGCGATTTCACGCACCGGTGAGCCGGAGCCCTGGGAAGACTTTTTCATGCAGAGGGCCAAAGCTCTGAAGCAGCTGTCAGATGTATGCAGATGTGAGATGATGTCATGCTTTTCTAGAGCAAGGCCTGAGTCATGCAGGGCAGGTGTGCGAACTGTGGCCGCCAGGCGCGGCCCTCATGTTTTGTTACGGTTTTCACCGCCCCTCACCCAAACCCTGCAGTATCATTGACAGTGGATGCCGGTCAGGCAGAATCGAGGTGCTCAAAATGTCAAGCCCGAGCCTACAGAGGGTTGTGACATTGTGGTTCGACCAGAGTTGTGTGGTGCAACCTGCAGCAACGCCTTCCAGATCAGTCCGGTGGAACAGCTCAGCCCTGGCTCAATGTAGCTTCGCTTGCCAGTTCTGATGCCTCAGCCATGGGAGTTGCTGAGTGCATCCTCAAGAAGAGATGGGCTTCTGCTTGCTTTCTATGGGTCTGCTGACTAAAGCCTGCCTTCTTGTTCATTGTCAGAGCAACCGTGATCCCTTTCAGATGCGGCATCGTGGGCATGCTGGCAGCGTACGGCATCCTGCAGGAGCAGAGCGGGACAAGAAAAAACAACAGCAACAACAACAACAACAACAACAACAACAACAACAACTAACAGGGAAATAATAAGTGGTTGAAGAGATCGAAAAAGACATGTAAATAGAAAACGGTCCGAGCTTCGCGCTTGGGGCCGCTTGGGGCCGTCAGATGCCACGCTGCGAGTTTCGAGGGGCTCACATGTGGACAAGGAGTTCACACTGGTTCACAAATGGGGTCATTTCTTTCAACACGGGGCTCACGATGCGAGGAGCGGATAATGATGGGGCACTACGATGGTGAAGTGACACTTGTGCCGAAATGGAACTTGATTGTTGTTATGGAGAAGCATGAACTGTTGAGACTTCCCCGAAGCTACGCGTGTGGTGCGGTCAGCTTCGAGGTTTCGCAGCTCTGTTTTTCTCGTCCTGTGCAACCGGTTGGTGGCGGTGGTTTTTGCATCAGTTCTGGCCAGCATGCACAAGGACATCGTAGGCAATGGAGAGACTCGGTCCTGCGATGTCCTGCGTTTTGACGCCCGCCTGTTGCAGGAAAGCCTTGCCAACAAGGCCCCGTTGCATTGTTATTTGCACCTCAGTTGAGCCTTGAGATCAGCACAGTTTTTTGGATGAGGATCACAGTTTGCTACATGCGGAGTGAGGCTAGGTACATGCTATCTATCTCTGTCAAGGATAGTCTCGCTGAGCAATGTGATTGCCAGCACCTGCCAGTACGAAGCCCTCAAGCACGTGTCTTTTGCCGTGCAGTTGCACAACTGCACAAGCAGGGAGTGCTATGAGTGTCGGGGAGATTGAGGTGAATCGGACAGCCGAAATGTGTCGGGCTTTGAGAGTAGCTGAGGATGCTGGGCAAGTCCTTCAAGACAATTCCTGTAATGTTGTGGGGCATGGTGGTGAGTGGCAAGCAGCGACTTGGAGTTTACTTCTGCACGGATGTGCAATATGCACAGCTCCGTTTCGCTAGATTCGTCTACCGCGTGCCATGCGTTACGCCCCCTGTTCACTCCGGTTTTCCAAACTGATTATTCTTTGAATGGGTGGGAACAACATGGCTTCTCCTGGAGGTACAGCTTCACTGATTGGTTGCTTGCAGCGGCTGTCACGGGTGGAATTACAATCTTCTTGATTTCTGGACCGACACATGCCACGTGGCAGCTCAAGCATATTCACAATGCTCACATTCCTGAGCTTTGGTATTCTTGAGAGGCCTGAGCTTTCCTGTTCAGGCATCGCCTGGTTCCAGCACAACTACTGGCCTGCTGCTTCTGTGCGGCTTCTTGGCGTTCGATGGACTCACTTCGGTCATGGAGGAGAAGCTATTCAAGGACGTGTCTGCCAAGGTTTCAAGAGTCTGTCATCCTTTCATCTTTCATCAAACTTTCATCATGCAGTACCGCCATGCAGAACTGGCACGAAGATGTGATGATGTGAACCAAATATCCAACCTAGAGGACTATGACACATCGAAGTGGAATCAGATCTTATATGTGAACTTGCTGTCCTCTGCTACCTCTGCAGCTGCTCTGGCGTTGGGCTTATATAGCGTGCAGCCTCACACAATCGTAGGCCTGCAGGCGGGTGCCGTGTTAGGAGATTGCTGCAGGTCGGATCCGGCGAAATGATGCCGGCCCTGACATTTACATGGGTGCATGAAGTGCTTAGGCTGCAAGTGCTTGTTTGCGCCAGACCGTACACTTGTGGAATAGCACAAGGAAGCACTTTCGAACAAGTGGCGCGTGGCCGACTTCACTTTCTACATCTTTTAGTGGCTTGTGTTGGGGTTGGCCTTGTGTGCTTGGGCGTTCAGTTTTCGCGTCAACATATGCTGAGGCATTTTCAAGAGACAAACATTGCTTCGCTCACAAGTTCGCCAGTGTTACAGTAAACGGGCGTCCCTCAAACCGCCAGCGATGTGGACACATGAGCATCGACCGAATGTTAAATGGGGAACGCACACGGGGGCGTTGCCAACAGGCATTGCCAATGTGTTGCAGGGTGGTAGATAGTCACGGCAATTGTTCAGTGCCCTCGCCTGCCCAAACCGCTGGAACGGGCATGGTACGAGCCGAACTGTTAAACCTGCCAGAGTGACAGTCCACGAAACGCCACGTGTGCAGAATGTCGTTTCTTGTCCATGTCCTGAGGCCTTCCTTACTGATGCTTCGCTTTTGAGCATGTCGGCAGTTGCCGCGCAATACTTTATCTACTCGCAGATTCGCGAGTTTGGTGCTTTGGTGTTTGCACTGACCATGAACATACGACAGGCCGGGCAGCTCAGACATGACAAGACATGACAAGAAGAGTGTGCCATTTTGTTGCAGTTGTCAGGTTGTGTCCATCGCCTTGCTGAGAACTCAGCTCATGGGCTCTTGTATTGAAAGGTCATTGTTGCATTATTCGTTTGGAAGAGCACATACATGGCCATTACATAAGCACTGTCGCAATGCTGTGGACCGGCTATTTTACAGTCAGAGCGATAAGGTCCTATGTGACCTACGAGCACCCTGTAACGCCGTGGCAGTTGGCAGGAATGCTCGTGGTCTTTGCCACACTATTCTACAAGAGTGGCTTGGAGTGGAGCAAGTTGTTAAGGCAGCTGAAACGGTGACGAGATATGTGATGTTCAGGAAGGTGTCGGACCCTCTGATGCTTGAGAGGTTTCTTGGCCATGTCCAAGGCAAAGGAGGCCTTGGGAGCCTTGCCCCCTTCAGCCCCGTTCAGCCTCATTTAGTGTTTAGTGTCGTGAGCACTTGTGAGCACTTGTGAGCACTTGTGAGCACTTGTGCACTGACGCCGCTTGAGCCTCTCGCAGGAGAACCGGCCGCTCTTGCGTAACAAGGACTTGGAAACTCGCTAAGACAAAGAGGACCTCGGAGGCGGACCAGCTTTCATGTCAGACCAGAGCAGGCGTTGCTATGGCTGGCAAAAGGGAGTATGTTTCGAGCGCGCAGTTTGTTGAAGCTGCAGCTATATCTTGCAGATGAAAGATTCATGCATGGTTCGTGCTATTCGTGCTACCTATGGCCCAGGTCGAGATGTACTGCAGCCGAGGCTGCCAGAATGAGCACTGGAAGGTGGCACTTGCTCGCACCGGGCTTCTCACAACTGCACTGAATCACAGATTCATTCGCCTTCGAGATATCGGCTTCAGAGTCAGATAGCTGCGAAACCTAGCAGTCCCCTCGGAGCACTGCTTGCACCCAGACATACGCAGACACACGCAGACATGCACAGACTGGGATGGCTGAAGAAGACCTTTCAGGACCTTTCACAAGCCATGGGCAGTGACCTAAGATGCAGTTGCAGGCGCCACCTAAGAGACAATCGAGAAACAAGAGCCGATCCTGTACAGGGCAGTTGCCTGAATCGGTTTCGCGTTCTGTCTTCCGGCACATTGGCTTTGCGGCGGCTTCCAATCTTCTTGGCTTTTGCTCAGTGTTGTGTTTTTCTGTAGTCAGTGCAATCGGCTGACTTGTTGGCTTCATTGACTGGTTGGTGGTGGCTTCTTGTCCTGACTCATACCACGACTCACGACGATGACTTTTTCAATTTTCAGATTCATTACCAGTTCTATCATTATTACAACTGCTACTAGTACTCCAGTCTCTTCATTGCTGTTACGATGGCTATTGCGATCACTATCACTTTTATAAGTATTTTCATTGCTAAAGTAAATAATTTAACTATCACGAAAGCCAGCATAGCTCGGCCTGAGCTAGTCCCTGCTTTAGCAGGCAACCCGGTCGCCCTTCCCAGGAATCTGTTTTCACTCATGTTTCGAGAAAGCCGGGAGGGGGGGGGTCAGTATTTCACTGTTCGCACGAAAAGAGGCGAGGTGGTCGGTACTGAATCTTTCAATAAGGGGGGGGGGGCTCGGGGGTCAGTATTGAATAGTTCAGCAATGCCTTGGGGTTACTTGCGCGGGCGGTCTGGAGCGTGATGATTCGGCAGATGGGGTTGGGCTGATGACAACACGAATCCGAGTTTCCAGTTTCCCATATCTGCGGTTGCCCATTCCGTCCATTCCCAGTTTCCTCGAATCCGTAGTTTCACTAAGTTTCCAGAAGAGCGTCGGTTCTCAATTTTCTGATTCTGTCTTGTTGTAGTTCCTGAATCCGGGGCTAACCGATCTGAGTGCATACGGCGCCAGTCTTGAGTTGAAAGGTCAAATTCTGAGAAGTATGTCAAAGTCCAATGTCTAAAGATTTGTTAGTTTCTTGATTTGAGAGTTCTGCGCGTCGAAGGCCGTTGTGGTAGTAGCCGGGTTTCTCAGCGCTGCTGCACGGGCCTCTGAGTTGCCATGTCATGTCAGCACTCTGTGCGTTCTCTGTGCGCTCATTGCGTCTCACGTTGTGACATGTTGTGTGTCAGATGCGATTCTTTTGTGACTCACTTGCACAACTCTCCTGAGTTGGAAACATGTGAACATACGTGAACTCAGGCCTGTCTGTCCTTGCTGACTGCGTTTCTTTATCCTGCTCCGTGGAGTCGAGCAGCTCTCCGAGGAAGCTGTCCGCAAGTTTTGTACCAAGATGGTGAAGCTCCGAGGTAAGTGCATCACCCCCGCGTGCACGTCACGCGCTGGAAGCAGAATATGGCTTGTGGCCGGGTGCCAATGGACTTGAGTCATTTCGTGTAATGTTTGGATATGGTGGACTGAGGCAAGGCTCCTTGCAGGTTCGATTCTTGCCCGATCCGTCCCTTCCATGGAAGCAGGCTCGCTTTCGCAGAGAACGACTTCCTGGGATTCAGCAGCAATTTAATGTAAAGTTTTGCCCCCCACGTTCCCAAACTGTGCACTTCAAGAACAGTCCAAGAGCATGCCCAGAGCAGTTGGAGAAGGTGTCCCGCAAGAGCTGGCCCCGAAGAGCGGGCAAAGACCGCTCCAAAAGCACCCAAAGCATTTTCACGCGCTAAAAGCGACTACAGTTCGGCACTTCACGACGAGTATGCGCGCAGAGTGAGATTGCCAATGTCAACACGCGAAGTGCAAATCCCTCTGATCGGACGCAGCGAACCCACCCGACAGCACGAAATGCAACAAAGTACATCTCTGCCACACTTTGACACAGAGCGGTTCAAGCCTCAAGAGCTGCATGGGACCGAGGCCGGACCATGGAATGCGCACGTGACCGAAGTGATGTGTCGCGCCGGCACAACCTAGGTTGTGCCGCGACCTCCGAGTCCCGAGCCCGTTTCGGGCCCTGAACGAGGTACAGTAATGCCGCTCATTGCGGCCCCGTGTGTTTTGTCGTTTTGGATGCCGGAAAACGTGGAAAACTCCAGGTTTTTGTGCGCGTAGTCGCTGAACTTGTCGTCTTGTTTATGCTCAAAATCACCACTGCCACCAGACTTTGGTGATCGCGTGCCCAAAAACACTGCACACAGCGATGTTTTCGACACTTGCGAATTCTTTTTGAACGCCATTTTCGGGCAAAACACTGCGCACAGCGTTCTTTTGCTTATGTTGTACAAAGAGGCAAAAATGTGTACAAAGAGGCAGAAATGCTTCAATACCATTGTTTTTGGGCATCTTCGCCAAAGGCATGAGCGCTTGTGACCGCGTGTCTTGTTCCATAATCTGCTGTATAGAGATGCAAAAACGCTGTAAATGCCAGAGTTTTCGGCATCTTCGCAAGGGCATGCACTCTTGTAACCGCATGTCATGTTTCATAAAGGTCAAACGTCCTTTTGGCAAAAGCTCTGTTCAACCCCCCCCCCCCCCACCCCCACCCCCGCCCCACAACCCGTTCGCCTAAACGAGTACCGCGCTTAGCTGAGAGTTCTTGCGCCCAGCAGCGGGTGCAGGGCAAGTGTTGCCACACTGTTTGGGGAACGTGCAACATGTTCAGAACATGTAAAGCCAAAGCTCCTGAGAGGAGAGAGCAGAGAATGAATCTCATGCAGGTGCCTGCACCTCTGCGGATTCCAACCCTGCCGCTGTACCACCTCGTGTGCGCCAGATAGCAGCCACTTGTCACAGCCTTGTCACAGACTTGTCAGCGGCATATTGTGCAGTATGCACATCAATGCCAGCCGTGGACCTCCAGCTGTTCGAGCTCTGTGCAAAAGGGGTGAAGGCGGTGCGGGTATCTCCTTGGTGCATATTGCCGGTTTAACTAGTTGTCGCCGAAGGGGCATCGGCGTGGGATGGAGACAGAATCGAGGTCGCGAAGCAGGCGACTTCCGTGGATGTGGCGCTTCTAGATCGTCTAGGGGTTCTCTTGCAAGGTTTCCCCAATGTGTACCAGGGACATTCAGGGGCACAGCATGTTTGCCTCGGAGCCGGTGTTTTGGGGCATGTGGCAAGTCATCCCAAGATGCGGAACAACGGCTCACCTCACTGGCTGCTACAGTTAGCCGATTCCAGGCGCAATAACAGTGCCAGTGAGACAAGCCGCAACCAAGTGGCCACACAGTTGTGCCAACATCAATCAAAAACAAAAACAGGCTGCGCAGTCGCGTGAGTGCCGCAATGGAGCACACACAAGATCACACAAACATGACATAAAAAGCATGGATCACAGCCCACCAGTGTCAACAGTTTTCGGCCCACAGTTTTGTCTATATTGGAGAGGGTTGATCAGAATGATGCCACAGTAAGATGCCAGACGCCAGCCGC